GTGTTTGTATCTCAAAGTTGTTTTTTGTCTGCTACTATTTTGCAAATGCTAAAAGTGATTGAAAAAGAGCTACCCCCATCAACTCCATGTTATACTGAACTTGTAAATAGGATCAATTGGTCCTTTGCTTGTCAAATAGTTGAAGTTGCCATCATGGTATGAAGGGTACATAGAAGAGAATAGACCGCTACTTTGGGTTTGGTGTAGTACTGTTGAAAACTGAGAATGAGTAAAGGAGAGAAAGTTGCATTGGGAGGGGTAGGAAGGTAGCATGACCAGAGTATCAGCACTAAGCAATCTCTCATTTTTCTTCAAAGATAGAGGAGCAAGAGCTACTCGCCACTCACAGATCATGCTTGGCTCGTGTCACTATCTTTGAGGAAAAATAATAGTGCTCACATGACAGTTTAGAAGAGAATAAGCAAAGAAAATAAAAAAAAATTATTTAAAAAACTGGATGCCCATCTGACTAAAAGCTTGGTTTAAAGGAACTGAGAATTTTTGTCAAAACTGTCTTCTTCCATTTATTTTTGTCAACTGGGTATGCACTTTTCAGTTTCGATTAACTTTTCCTGCACCTAGAAATAAACTTGCTTGTTTTACTTTAAGCTTTGATTGTTAAAAATAATTCACAAGTTATCTAGTATTTTATTTACATGTTACATGTGTATTGTACATTGATTTCCATGTGAGTTACTGATAGTGATGAAAGTGTACAGAATTGACAGGTTTAAATTAATTTATGATTTGCCCTAACAAATGGATTGATCTGCTTGTTTGAGGCTCATTTCTCCTAAATTAAAAATGCTTTTCAGCCTGGAGAGGTCCTTAAATGGTAAAGAACTTTATGAAAATTGTTTCAAATTTACATTTTTGATCTTGAAAAATCCAATTTACCTCGAGAGTAGCTAGCATACCCAGGATCACTAGAGGATGACTTTTGCCGGGTCGGAGGTGCTTACGGAGAACACTGGGAGAGAGTCACTCGGCGTTCACTTTTCCTTTCGTGGCGTTCAATCACCAGTTATGCTGGCTGAAAACTTGAAAGCAAAATGATAATATCATGAAGAAGCAAACTACTCTTGGCTCACTCATGGTTGGTGGTTAATACCTCATGTACTTGATTACATGATATCATTATGTTTATCACTTACATTGCCATCCTCTTTATGGTAACCAAAATGAACAATTAATGGTTGGTTATGGTTTTTAGTACTTAAAGTAAATTTTTGAGGACATGCAAGATGATTGATCTATAAACAACCTCGCGAAGATTTAGGTCTGTGCAGTTATTCATTCACACTTTATTCTGAAAAGTGTTTCACCCAAATTTGTAGAGCTTTGTATGGAGATGCCATGTGCCCTTCCGAGGGGCACCAACATGGCAGCTGTAAAGTAGCAGAAACATCTGTTGTTGAGTTTTGCCATAGAAATGAAAAGTTATTACTCTAGAGCTCCAAGACATTGAAATTAATTCTTATAGAGCAAGAACTGTTTAGTTAGCACAAACTTGAGCAATAACTCATCTTTCGACCTTACTTGAGAGTTATCCGGCCTCCATTTTAATGTCACACAACCCATAAACTTGGAAATTCAAATGTTCTCTATTACATAATGAGGAACCCTGTCAGGTTTAAACGTTGCAAAACATCATGTTTTTAGAGGGTCTTACATGTACATCTGATGAAACTAAAACTTCAGAAGGAATGGTAATTTTTTATTTTGGAAAATGATGACGTCACATGAAAACCAGCAATAGGTCAGTCTTCCTTTTTTGTTGTTGGGCAATTCTGAAAATGGAAAACTGGAGATCTGAAATCGAGCCCCAGCAATGTTTAGACTGGGCTCTCAACATTATGGCTTGGGGCATAACTTCAGATAAATTGAGTGCTTTGGCACTGGAAACTGTTTTAGTAAACAGCCTGGTCAGAAGCCATTTTTTTCTTTTTCTTCTGGTACTGAATGAAGTGCTGCCCTCATCATTAAACAATGGCTTGTACTGCACTTACCAACCCTTGATGGACTAGCATGCATCCAAAGAGAGTACATGTTGTTAATATTCACCTGCCATAAAATTTTGAACTTAACATGCATGGCACTTGTGGGGGGTAGAGATCACTCATTTAATCCCTTGGTCATTGGGTCCACTTGCAGGTCTGTATTTTCATTAACACACGAGTGCATTTTTTGTAAAAGTTCATTTTTATAGAAATTAGTATTTTAACTATCATTGTTCGATATCAAAAATTGTAGGATTCAAAGAGATCATGTTTACTTCTGCCCAGTACTGCAGTCCAAAATAGCACATTTTGTTTGGTCAAAATGTCCTAGGCCGTTGTGCCTGTTAATTAAGAACTTATATAACACCAAACAGAAACATTGGCACTAAAACAAATCACTTGGCAAGGAAATCCTGTCAACTGCGAAAATAATTAGGTTTGGAATTCTTGTTTATCATTGTTATACAGAGCTTGATGTTGCAACCGCTGGGGTTGCCAATGCGACCAGACTTCACTGCCAACTAACTTTTCACGCTTTTCACTGAAATACATGTACTTACAAGGGCTGGCGAGTGAATCTGAAATTTTAGGGGCTAGCTTGCTCCAAGGTTTTTTCCTGAAAGTCAAGCTCTGTTGTATAGCAAAACAATTCTGGGAAGTAGACCCTAAAAGGGCCACCTGGTCAGCCACACCTTTGTGTTTGTTAACATGTGAGAGTTTGGCTATTATATTTCATATGGAATACGTCAAAATGAAGGAAATCACTGTGAAATTACTAAAGTTAATTAAACATACTTTCAAGAATACAACTTACAGTAAAGCAATAAGCAGTGTTTCGGCCAGAGCGTGGCATTGCGGGAATCCCACGTTACAATCAGAGATGGCCCCCAGAAAAACAAAAACTGGGCCAATTTGGCCCTTTCCTTTTACAAGACTGCAGGCTTAACACAGGCATAATATTTTAAAAGCTGTCCCAGGGCTCAAAATTGTGATTGATACAGTCACCAAGGCAACAAGCAGTTCATCCTTGGCGACCAAAAATTCTGGTTTAGTCGCCATATTACAGCATAATGGTGACTACATTTCTCTGTGTTGACGATCAATAACGGTTATTTTGTCACACATTATATCCTTCTAGAAAAATCATGTTGAGAGATCTTTGCTTTTAAAACATTCAACATAAGAAAAGAAGTCAATCCATCCTTTTGCTTTGCTGTATTGATTCTCTCATATTGGAAAACTTCCAAATGGCTGACCATGTTTGAAATCGCTCTATAATGCATTGCAAACCCTTGATCATTGACTACGTCATACATACATACAAATACATACATCCTTTATTGTCTTTCCCCATGGGGGCTTTTCGAAGGCTATATGGTACAATACTACAATTAAATACTAATATACTAAAATTAATAATATTACATTCTAATTTAGATAATTACGAATTTAAAAACTCTACAATTAATTTACGTTTCAATGCTTTTTTAAAAATTGAAATAGTTCTACTGAGTTTTAAAGTAAGGTCCAATGAGTTCCAGATGTTAGTTGTCATGTAGACCCAAGGATTGTTCTCTTGTAATGCACAGATCCTTCATACTAGTATCTGATTCAAAAGAAACTTTATTGAGTAGAAACCCTTCAAAAAGCACTTACTATTAAATTTTATCATAGATCCTAATAAACTGCTTTATTTTCTTAGGTACCCTGATGCATTTTTCCTTCTGTAGCTTTCAGTTTATTGGCCCCTTTCCTAAAAAATTGGCCCCTAAAAAAGATCATCAGGGGCCACTTTGGCCCTCAAGTATCAATAATTTTGATGGCATCGAAAATGGCGGAGGTTGACAAGGGTCCTTTAAACTGGAATGAAAATGAAAAGGAAACAAGTTAAAAGTACACTGTCACACTGCCCAGTGTGACAATTAATTTTAAACGTATTTTTGTTTTGTTTTGTTCATCAGTGAAACAGTATTAGCTCACATTGCTAAGTTTAGGTGAAGCTGATAGAGTAAAAATGTTTCATGATGTTTTGTGTGGATCAAATACGGTGGAACCCCGTTAATACGACCACCTTCGGGCCATGAAAAATTGGTCGCATTAACAGGGTGGTCATATTAAAGGGGTTCTTTAAATAAGAAAATGACTGACTGAGCTTTTTTTTGGGCCAAAATAAAGTGGCCGTAATAATGAGGTGGTCGTAAGGTGGGGTTCCACTGTATTCCAAAATTGTAAAAGCTTTGTAGCAGCTGGGTTTGAAACATGAAACTGCCATTTTCTGTTTCTTTGGTAAATTAACCCATTGACTCCTGTGCCAGCTGTAACTGGCCATGACGAGCCTTGGCCTTTCTTCCACTTCTGACGTCATCACCCTTGACCAAAATTAGCATCGTCTATGCTCAACTTCTGCAGGAGGGAAAGATCTTTCCAGTGATACCCAGATCAGAGTGATTGGCTCAATGGAGCCTGAGATATGCACAAAAATGCTCAAAAAGTTGAGTGAAAAACTCAGAACAAAATTTCCTGCCCCTACACGTGGCTACTCCATGGCAAAAATTGCCTGTGTCAAAGATGCTTTCTCAGAATGTTTTAAACTGGAAGCAAGCCCAGTAGAAGGTCAATCACTGCAGCAAAAAGAAACAAAAAGGAGAAAAAGGAAAGGCAAAAAAAAAAATCAAAAAATCAAAAAGCCTTTTGATTTCTGTGCATGCCTGAGTGAAAATGTCGTAAAACGCGATGCTAGTGGAAAGAAAGGCATGCTGTCATGTTGCAAATTCATTTTTGAGTAGATTGGAGCTAATTTGGCCCATTTCCAGCCTGAAAATCTCCAAAATGTCCAAAAAATGCGTTTTTGGCAAAAAGCTGCAGGAGTCAATGGGTTAAGTCAAAACTTGTTTGCGTGAACCCATGTAATACATGTACACTTAGCCATCCATGCTTTTAAACAAAATTAAGGGGCAAAAAATGTCTGATTGTGTTTTGTTTTACTTGGCTTTTCAACAGGTGTGAGTTGTGACTCATGTAGTAAAGGAAATTTCCGTGGTAAACGCTTCAAATGTTTAATTTGTTATGATTATGACCTGTGTGCGACGTGTTATGAGAATGGAGCCACGACAACAAGACACACAGCAGATCATCCTATGCAATGTATTCTCACCAGAACAGACTTTGGTAAGGCTAATACAGGTTATGCTGATTTCAGATTTGTTCTTGTTATGGAAAGAATTTCATTTTGTTAGATTTCTTTTTCTAAATAAATTACATTTCCTGTAGTTATTTTGGGGTTGTAGGTTTGCCCCAAATATATTGGAATTGTTTCATGTGATATTCCCCACAATTTTTCAGAGGGTCTGTGCTTTTGGGACTTATCAATATACGTGTAACTGTCAGTGGAACTTTACTGCCACTTTCAGAGGGTCTCTCCTTGTAGGGGAATAGGGGTAGATTTGCACTGGCTTTGGTGCAAGTGAGTTACAAGTCCTTGGGAGAGGATTTTGTCACTGCTTTCATTACATTTTGGTAGTTTGCAGTGGTAGCCCATTAAGGTTATTTGAGGCAGCCGTGTACTCTTTTTATTTTAACTTATTTGTGTTCATCTAACTCTAATTTCTATGTTGAGTACAAATAAAGTTGTTGTTGTTGTTGTTGTTGTTGTCAGTTTGTCACATGCTCTTGTTTGAGAAAAATTGGTGGCAGAGCACATGTACATCATATTTTTACCCACACGCATATACCAGAATTACTGGTTTATAAAGTAAGGAAAGCTTCAGTTCTGGTGTGGTGGTTTGGTTGTGTTTTTTGTTTCTTTGTTGTTGCTTTTATTTTTGTGTTTTTTTTATTATTTTAGTTTTTGGTTTGGTTTCTGGTTCTTTTTTTTGGTGTGATGGTACAATTAGACCTTTGGTGTAGAGATACATGGTCCTCCCTTAGCCTTGGAACCTGCTTCTCTTCTAGTCATTCTTATTTTCAGATAGTGGAAATATTTTTTGTACATGTATCATCTAATTTATCATTGATTTAAGGAGGTTTTTCCATCCTTTTCACTTGTGCTCTGTAGAAAAACAGAAATGAACTGTCTGCTAACCAGAGTTCCATCCATGGACTAGGCCATGTGCAGTCAACAGCTCTCCTGAAGAAAAATTGGAGAGGGGTTCTGTGCATTGCCATTGATAACCATCTTCCTTGCATAAATTTTCACTCACGAAATATAGCAGATTTCTATTGTGGTCTCTATGGCAAACTGCCAAGATATTTGTCAGAACAATGAGCAAAACATAAACAACCGAGTTCAACAATTTACAAGCATTGTATTATCTTGAACCACAAACAATCGATGAGCCAATCTGGTGGTTTACCACACATCAAGGGAAAATCATGTCACCTTGAAAACAATATTATTATCAGTAAACACAGACACGCTCGCTTAGATTTTTTTGAGGAGAGTGGGTGGGTGTACAAAGGCTATCCATGGACTTCCATGGACTTGTGGAGTGAAAGAGTAAAACTGTGGAAAACGTTAGTGATGCAAATGAGAAATAAATATTAAAAGTGATTTTCCATTTGTGGTTGACTGATTGATAGAACTTTACTATGGAGGGGAAGCATTTACAGCGGACCAGCCACAGTCCTTCACTTGCCCCTATTGTGGTAAAATGGGGTTTACAGAAACAGCTCTACAGGAACATGTAGCCTCAGAGCACAGTGACACTTCCATTGAAGTGGTAAGTATTTAATGTCAAGTCCACTGTCTTGAAAAATTCAAGTGCCAGTACTTTAACTTGTGGCAAAACATTGTGTACTAATGACAGCAGCCAAAAGGAGGAAGAATTTTAGTTCTTAAGTATGAAAGCAGTGACTAAATTGTAACACTGTAAAGTAATAAAATGCCCTTCCTCCCAGCTCACAAGAAATTGTTTTGGTTGTAAGCAGCCTCTCCCCATCCAACTTTTCAACATTATGCTTTTAAATAGAAATGGCAACAAATACGTTTGTGGATAGGTTGCAGTTCCAAACCTCAATTAAATCAGAGTGCCCCCCTTACAATAATTATGTCACCCAGGTTATCCTTTTTGTTCCTTGCCAGCTCATAGCCCAACCATTTTTATTCCACTTCCTAACTACATGTACCCCTTCCCCCCCTTTCCCCCAATCCAGGTTTCAAGTATTTTTTTTGAAACTGACGTACAGGTTTGCAATATGGCAGCATTTTCCTTACAATATTTTTATTACTAAGTAAGAGTAACTATTTCAATTGGTTTATTGTGTTTCACCAAGGTATGTCCTGTGTGCGCAGCCTTGCCAGGTGGCGACCCTAATCATGTGACAGATGACTTTGCTGCTCATTTGACACTAGAGCACAGAGCACCCAGTAGGCCGGATATGCTAATATCCTTTACATTTCAACTGAAATGCATATATTTGTAACTTTGATTTGTATTCAAGTACAAAATTGAATTGGGTTCATGATGGTCTCCTAACTACTGGTCCTCTCCTCCCTCTCCTATCTGGGAAAAGAGTGATTTCAGTAATGAATGCCTCTAGTGAGTTCATGTTTGATCAGGGGTTTGTTGCATTAGTTGTCTGGTAGAGAAAAATATGCCTTCCTTAAAGTTAAGGTGTCCTTTCATTTGGGCTGTCATGTAATTTAGTGCACAGTAAACAAATTTAGTGTTCTGTTTCAAAGTAGATGTTAAATAAAAAAGATAAAGTGGAACCCGGTTAATTCAGTCACCAATGGGCCACAAAAATCTGGCCGTATTAATGGGGTGGCCATACAGAAAATGACTGACTGAGCATTTGCTCAGACCAGAATAACGTGGCTGTAATAACAAGGTGGCCGTATTAACAGGGTGGCCGTAAGGCGGGGCTCCACTGTACATGTAAATATGAAAATAAATGGAAATGAGCAGTGGCCATTTGTCCACTGTCTCTAGGGAACTTGGAGAAAAACCCAGGATCATGAGCCGGGAACCTAGATCAGGGATTCAAGCCCAGCCAACATTAGATTATTGGTAGACTTTGTCACCTCTGTGCCCACCATTCCTAGCATGTAGACTGAAAGATTTTGAAAGCATCAAAGAAGACTGTGACATTGTTCTATTTATAACCCTTTCCCCACCTTACCAATCATTGGTAGAAAGATTCTAGCTTTTAAGACTGTCCTTGAAACCATAATTTGTGACCATTCAAAGGAAAACTGTTGAGCAGTACTTAAATGTAGGTAGTTCTAACTTGGGGTTTATGGAGCACCATTCAAATGGAAATAATTGATGAGAAATTACCTGGTTAGGTTTGTGTTCTTTAACTGAGTTTCTACGACGAGCGAGGTGAGCCCCCTCCTGTGCGGCACGTGAGACGTTTATTTCATCCAGCGGTTAGTGGGAGGATACCGAGACCTCCACGACCACGAGCAACCAATATGCATTTTGGAGGATCTGGAGGCAGTGGTCTTTCCTCCTCTTCCTCCTCCTCTTCCACTTCTGCCCGTGAGAGCATGGATCCTATAGCAGAGCTTCTGTCCCAGCTCTCTGGCGTTCGAAGACAAGCTCAGCAGCCCCAGGCTCCCATGCCTATGCAGTCACAGCTTCAGTTACTTCAACAGCAGTTACAGCTAGAAAGACAGCAAGTGCAGCAGACAAGGGAGCGGCTGGAAAGACTTCCAGCACGGAGGCAGATGGCGGCAGCTGCTGCTGCTGCGGCGAGTAGCAGTGCGCCGACTACATCGACGGTTAGCGCTCAAGAAAGCAGCAGTTCCCCATCTTCTTCATTTCTTCTTGCCAGGTTTGTAAAATTGACAAATGATTTATAGTCATAGTTACCCTAAGTTATTAATTTGTTACGTTTGAGGTCGCCATTCTGCCCATTATTTTGTATTTAGATACCAAGTGCCGATATTCCAGTCCCAAACCGTTACTGTCAACCGTCGCAGTACAAAATCTTGATGTCTCTGACGTGTATCTATTATGATTATCCTAATCTTTCTATTACGAAATTTCTTTCCATTTCCTTTCACAAAAACAAAAGTCAACTCCTTGATGAAAGTTTTTAGTGCCAAGTTTAAGCTCTGCCCTCCAATCAAGGTTAATGTGAAAAAAAGGAATGAATCCCAGGAACTAAGACACCCCTGTCAGAATGTAAAAAGCATTCAGGTCGTGTTTTGTTGGTTGACAGACGGTTGTTATAGTTCTTAGATTGTCTGCCACTCTCAAAACTCGATTGAAACAGTTATTTGATTTAAGTTTCCCAGGTGACTCCTTTTGGACCATTTTGTGTTGATGCAGTTGAGGAAGTCCGCTTGGGACGGTTTTTCTTAATATAACAAGGGAGGCAGAAAAAAAATCCACCAACGCACTGTAGTTGAACTCGGTAGATCGCGGTCTAAAAGCTATTTAACAGATGGTTTTCTTTGGGAATCTCAAACGAAACTCAACCGAGTAGTTGACAGTGATTCCAAGAGAACACTTTTTGCTTTGCTAAGTTCTACCGTACTTTTCAGGGCCAATGAACCATCATTGTCCGAAGCCGAGCAGGAAACCCTAGAACGCGAGCGCGCAGACCGAAGCCTGTTCGTGCAGGATCTTATTCTGTCGACACTTGGATCAGCAGCGTTTAGACGCAGAGCCCGTCCGAGCTCTTCAGTTCGGGAGACAACGGCTGGATTTGCAAGTCTAACCCTACAGGATAGCGCCGGAATTCAGGCTAGTGCTAATGAAATGCGGGCAGAGGCCCAGGACTGTAATGTAATCGAACAGGACATTACTGTTCAAGATATGGAGCTTATAACACTGGAAACGGAGGAAGATAAAGATTCCTAGCGCAGGCAGGGATTGTTGGTTTCAATCAAATTTTACCCTCCATGTAGGTACAGAAATGAATTTTCATTGACGTTAATTCGCGGTTTGCCGTCGTTTTAGACCGTCGTGGAGAACGTGCACTCGCCCGACCCCAGCAAGAGGACAGACAAGAAGAAGAAGAGGCAGAGGCTAAGTTATAAACGCCTTGGTCGCGCGTGTAAACATAGCATCAATCTACCCTTGACGAAATGCCGCATCATAAGAGAATAGCTATGATTGCGCGCATTTTTATAGTTGGAGAAATAATTAGATAGGGTTGGAAAAAATAAATTTTAATGAATGACATCCCTTTGAAACAAATCGTGTAAGCTTATCGTAATTTTAGTTTTGATCTTGACTAACGTATTGCAATCTTGACGCTTCCCAAAAGGAGCGAACGCCCTGAAGAGACTTAGAAACCACAAAAAATACACGAAATAACTTTAGAGTACACATTAGTAAACGATCAGGAAGTTTACCAAAAGGGCAGACCATATTCTCGCTCCATTCTTTCTTAGCGCTTCTTTCCAAAATGACCGTCCTTTTGTATTTCAATGCTTAAAAGACCCTGGGGACAAAGATGACCGTTTTGTCGTAAGCAAAATATCCAAGTGCTTTCTGGTGGACACCCAAGGCTTGGTCTCTTCTGTCTTCCCGGCAACAGTGAGCCTACCAGCCCTTGGGTGTACTGGGTCAGATGACGAATTGCTGGTTGGCTTGGGGGGTCATGAAAGTTGGTTATTCTAACATAAGCCTGGGACAGAGTTAATTTTTGGTCGCAAAGATCCGGTTCTTGCTGTATGGAATTGAGGTCTGTTGCCTTGACGTGGGAGATCTTCGGCTTCTGGCCACATCATCACAGGGCTGTTGTTCCCTGTGGATGTGGAAGTGCCTTTTGTCAAATCCGAAAGTCCGCGACCTCAAATGTAACAGAAGCAATTGCAGATTACAGATACAGCAATCTCTGCACCGAAATACCCGATTTTGATGATTTTTACTCTGTTCATGTGCGAATTCGTTTCATTAAGCATTTCACCTTTCGTTACCATCTAATTTTGCGAGTTAATTAAGTGGCTAATGATCAATTCATGATACCATGTAAAAGCGGCGAGAGTATAGAACTGCACTGCAATTTATATGTGCACTGCTGTAAACGTACGATAACAAGCCTGGGCTGACATATGTTAGCTGCATTTGGGGGGGATTAGGGAAGAATTTTAACTGTACTTATTTTCGAAAATTGGGGGTGGGAAGGCTTATTATTGAGGGAAAGAATGTTTAAGTTTATGTTTGGAATGGCGTGTTGGCATGTTGAGTTTGAAAAGTTTTAGACGCATACCGTAATCACGTTGAAATATTAAGTAAACTCCACAGTAATTGAATGTGGAAGGCGTATTTTTCTCTTCCCAGCTAAATCGTAAAACATCCCATGAGCTTTTAATTGAGGGTCTGGTTAGCGGAAAGATTTTTGCGTCTGAGATTTGGTGGAGTTTGGACGATTGGGGATGGAAGGGGTTCTTTTGGGGATGGATATTGTTACAGTGTACAAATAAAGCAGGAGTAAGATTGATTCCTACAAAACAAAACATCCTATAGGTGTATTTTATATTTGAAAATGTATGATTTGTCACGATTTTAAAAAGTTTAATCGGCTTATACATTTTGGCCAGCGGTCAGTCAGTCACGATTAGTTACTAACAACCCTGCAGCGATAGCGATAAAGAAAGGCTGTTAAATCCGAAAATACCAAGAGCCGCTACTTTCGGAGCCTTATGGGAGTTAACCAGGATTTATGGTTTGGTCTGGCTATAGTAACATAACGCGCTCTCCATTGATTTTCCTATAGTCGTGGCCGGATTTTCCAGTAATGCTCAGATGTATAATGAGCGATGTCAATCAGCCCGGCTGAATGTCAAAACTCTCTTCAAGGTTACGATACCTTCTATGTGGAGTATATTTTGCTTCCGTCATTAGAGTTCGACTTTCGACGCGGCCAAGTTAAGTTACAACAGGATGTAATATTGTTTTAGACCACGAAATCAATACACCAAAACGCTATTAGAAAGGACTTTCAAACGACTAGGACGTTGCCTAAAAGAAGAGTCAGTTTCTTACCTGGATCATCAAACACTTTATTTTGCGATAGCGTAGTGTTAAGAAATGTATGAAATAACAATTAATTAATACTGAATAGATTTCTTAATTGACCACTCCCCCAATAGTGCTTTTCAGGGCCATTAGAGACAAACAATGGAACAAGTAATGTCAATGAACATAACATGGTTAAAAATCCCAACTGCCAGTTGGCAGATCAGTGGACTATTTACAAGCGTGGCTGAGGAGGTGAACTCAGGACTACCAAGAACAACACCAACTACTAGTGTTCAGAGCGGGTGTTAGTCTCCTTCGCAGCCGTTATTAGGGTCGTCACGCAACGCTCCTCCCCACTAACTAGTGGGGAGGAGCGTTGCGTGACGACCCTAATAACGGCTGCGAAGGAGACTAGAACGACGTCAGAGAGACTCTGGGCTCGAGCGGTTGAGATCGAATCGACCTAGTTACCGACACCGCGGGCTCAATGTTTTGGTCCATTGTACCTTTGTATTCCTCTGTTATTCCTCTTCGATCCTATTCCTGTCCATATTACAATAGTGGGGGAAAACCTTCCTATTCCATTTAATTTTTCTATAAAACAGAAAAAACCTTTTTACCTTAAGGATCACGTATGGGTTGCACTGTGAGTGGAACTGCCAAGGAACTGCCAAGGATAAAAGGATCGTGCAATTCCGACGAAATCAACGCACGTGTCACTTTGTTTAAAAACTTGAGCAAAGAGCTTTGTTCCGTGGATCGCACAGGCAATGCCAGTTTTTTGAAAGGTACGATAGACTTTCCTTTACTCAGTATGTTCAGAAGTTTCATAATTTTTAAAAATGTATGTTACTGAAAAACTGAGAACAGCCCCGCCACCATTTTCCTCTGGAAGGTTAGTAGTGATGGGGTATAAACGAGCCAGGAAAAACACTGCTTTTACAACCTTCAGAACCTTAGAACCAACCCTGGGGGTAATTCCATACGGTTTCTTAAACGTCGATTACGTACTGCTTTATTTATTTATTTATTTGTTTGTTTNGATGCAAATGAGAAATAAATATTAAAAGTGATTTTCCATTTGTGGTTGACTGATTGATAGAACTTTACTATGGAGGGGAAGCATTTACAGCGGACCAGCCACAGTCCTTCACTTGCCCCTATTGTGGTAAAATGGGGTTTACAGAAACAGCTCTACAGGAACATGTAGCCTCAGAGCACAGTGACACTTCCATTGAAGTGGTAAGTATTTAATGTCAAGTCCACTGTCTTGAAAAATTCAAGTGCCAGTACTTTAACTTGTGGCAAAACATTGTGTACTAATGACAGCAGCCAAAAGGAGGAAGAATTTTAGTTCTTAAGTATGAAAGCAGTGACTAAATTGTAACACTGTAAAGTAATAAAATGCCCTTCCTCCCAGCTCACAAGAAATTGTTTTGGTTGTAAGCAGCCTCTCCCCATCCAACTTTTCAACATTATGCTTTTAAATAGAAATGGCAACAAATACGTTTGTGGATAGGTTGCAGTTCCAAACCTCAATTAAATCAGAGTGCCCCCCTTACAATAATTATGTCACCCAGGTTATCCTTTTTGTTCCTTGCCAGCTCATAGCCCAACCATTTTTATTCCACTTCCTAACTACATGTACCCCTTCCCCCCCTTTCCCCCAATCCAGGTTTCAAGTATTTTTTTTGAAACTGACGTACAGGTTTGCAATATGGCAGCATTTTCCTTACAATATTTTTATTACTAAGTAAGAGTAACTATTTCAATTGGTTTATTGTGTTTCACCAAGGTATGTCCTGTGTGCGCAGCCTTGCCAGGTGGCGACCCTAATCATGTGACAGATGACTTTGCTGCTCATTTGACACTAGAGCACAGAGCACCCAGTAGGCCGGATATGCTAATATCCTTTACATTTCAACTGAAATGCATATATTTGTAACTTTGATTTGTATTCAAGTACAAAATTGAATTGGGTTCATGATGGTCTCCTAACTACTGGTCCTCTCCTCCCTCTCCTATCTGGGAAAAGAGTGATTTCAGTAATGAATGCCTCTAGTGAGTTCATGTTTGATCAGGGGTTTGTTGCATTAGTTGTCTGGTAGAGAAAAATATGCCTTCCTTAAAGTTAAGGTGTCCTTTCATTTGGGCTGTCATGTAATTTAGTGCACAGTAAACAAATTTAGTGTTCTGTTTCAAAGTAGATGTTAAATAAAAAAGATAAAGTGGAACCCGGTTAATTCAGTCACCAATGGGCCACAAAAATCTGGCCGTATTAATGGGGTGGCCATACAGAAAATGACTGACTGAGCATTTGCTCAGACCAGAATAACGTGGCTGTAATAACAAGGTGGCCGTATTAACAGGGTGGCCGTAAGGCGGGGCTCCACTGTACATGTAAATATGAAAATAAATGGAAATGAGCAGTGGCCATTTGTCCACTGTCTCTAGGGAACTTGGAGAAAAACCCAGGATCATGAGCCGGGAACCTAGATCAGGGATTCAAGCCCAGCCAACATTAGATTATTGGTAGACTTTGTCACCTCTGTGCCCACCATTCCTAGCATGTAGACTGAAAGATTTTGAAAGCATCAAAGAAGACTGTGACATTGTTCTATTTATAACCCTTTCCCCACCTTACCAATCATTGGTAGAAAGATTCTAGCTTTTAAGACTGTCCTTGAAACCATAATTTGTGACCATTCAAAGGAAAACTGTTGAGCAGTACTTAAATGTAGGTAGTTCTAACTTGGGGTTTATGGAGCACCATTCAAATGGAAATAATTGATGAGAAATTACCTGGTTAGGTTTGTGTTCTTTAACTGAGTTTCTACGACGAGCGAGGTGAGCCCCCTCCTGTGCGGCACGTGAGACGTTTATTTCATCCAGCGGTTAGTGGGAGGATACCGAGACCTCCACGACCACGAGCAACCAATATGCATTTTGGAGGATCTGGAGGCAGTGGTCTTTCCTCCTCTTCCTCCTCCTCTTCCACTTCTGCCCGTGAGAGCATGGATCCTATAGCAGAGCTTCTGTCCCAGCTCTCTGGCGTTCGAAGACAAGCTCAGCAGCCCCAGGCTCCCATGCCTATGCAGTCACAGCTTCAGTTACTTCAACAGCAGTTACAGCTAGAAAGACAGCAAGTGCAGCAGACAAGGGAGCGGCTGGAAAGACTTCCAGCACGGAGGCAGATGGCGGCAGCTGCTGCTGCTGCGGCGAGTAGCAGTGCGCCGACTACATCGACGGTTAGCGCTCAAGAAAGCAGCAGTTCCCCATCTTCTTCATTTCTTCTTGCCAGGTTTGTAAAATTGACAAATGATTTATAGTCATAGTTACCCTAAGTTATTAATTTGTTACGTTTGAGGTCGCCATTCTGCCCATTATTTTGTATTTAGATACCAAGTGCCGATATTCCAGTCCCAAACCGTTACTGTCAACCGTCGCAGTACAAAATCTTGATGTCTCTGACGTGTATCTATTATGATTATCCTAATCTTTCTATTACGAAATTTCTTTCCATTTCCTTTCACAAAAACAAAAGTCAACTCCTTGATGAAAGTTTTTAGTGCCAAGTTTAAGCTCTGCCCTCCAATCAAGGTTAATGTGAAAAAAAGGAATGAATCCCAGGAACTAAGACACCCCTGTCAGAATGTAAAAAGCATTCAGGTCGTGTTTTGTTGGTTGACAGACGGTTGTTATAGTTCTTAGATTGTCTGCCACTCTCAAAACTCGATTGAAACAGTTATTTGATTTAAGTTTCCCAGGTGACTCCTTTTGGACCATTTTGTGTTGATGCAGTTGAGGAAGTCCGCTTGGGACGGTTTTTCTTAATATAACAAGGGAGGCAGAAAAAAAATCCACCAACGCACTGTAGTTGAACTCGGTAGATCGCGGTCTAAAAGCTATTTAACAGATGGTTTTCTTTGGGAATCTCAAACGAAACTCAACCGAGTAGTTGACAGTGATTCCAAGAGAACACTTTTTGCTTTGCTAAGTTCTACCGTACTTTTCAGGGCCAATGAACCATCATTGTCCGAAGCCGAGCAGGAAACCCTAGAACGCGAGCGCGCAGACCGAAGCCTGTTCGTGCAGGATCTTATTCTGTCGACACTTGGATCAGCAGCGTTTAGACGCAGAGCCCGTCCGAGCTCTTCAGTTCGGGAGACAACGGCTGGATTTGCAAGTCTAACCCTACAGGATAGCGCCGGAATTCAGGCTAGTGCTAATGAAATGCGGGCAGAGGCCCAGGACTGTAATGTAATCGAACAGGACATTACTGTTCAAGATATGGAGCTTATAACACTGGAAACGGAGGAAGATAAAGATTCCTAGCGCAGGCAGGGATTGTTGGTTTCAATCAAATTTTACCCTCCATGTAGGTACAGAAATGAATTTTCATTGACGTTAATTCGCGGTTTGCCGTCGTTTTAGACCGTCGTGGAGAACGTGCACTCGCCCGACCCCAGCAAGAGGACAGACAAGAAGAAGAAGAGGCAGAGGCTAAGTTATAAACGCCTTGGTCGCGCGTGTAAACATAGCATCAATCTACCCTTGACGAAATGCCGCATCATAAGAGAATAGCTATGATTGCGCGCATTTTTATAGTTGGAGAAATAATTAGATAGGGTTGGAAAAAATAAATTTTAATGAATGACATCCCTTTGAAACAAATCGTGTAAGCTTATCGTAATTTTAGTTTTGATCTTGACTAACGTATTGCAATCTTGACGCTTCCCAAAAGGAGCGAACGCCCTGAAGAGACTTAGAAACCACAAAAAATACACGAAATAACTTTAGAGTACACATTAGTAAACGATCAGGAAGTTTACCAAAAGGGCAGACCATATTCTCGCTCCATTCTTTCTTAGCGCTTCTTTCCAAAATGACCGTCCTTTTGTATTTCAATGCTTAAAAGACCCTGGGGACAAAGATGACCGTTTTGTCGTAAGCAAAATATCCAAGTGCTTTCTGGTGGACACCCAAGGCTTGGTCTCTTCTGTCTTCCCGGCAACAGTGAGCCTACCAGCCCTTGGGTGTACTGGGTCAGATGACGAATTGCTGGTTGGCTTGGGGGGTCATGAAAGTTGGTTATTCTAACATAAGCCTGGGACAGAGTTAATTTTTGGTCGCAAAGATCCGGTTCTTGCTGTATGGAATTGAGGTCTGTTGCCTTGACGTGGGAGATCTTCGGCTTCTGGCCACATCATCACAGGGCTGTTGTTCCCTGTGGATGTGGAAGTGCCTTTTGTCAAATCCGAAAGTCCGCGACCTCAAATGTAACAGAAGCAATTGCAGATTACAGATACAGCAATCTCTGCACCGAAATACCCGATTTTGATGATTTTTACTCTGTTCATGTGCGAATTCGTTTCATTAAGCATTTCACCTTTCGTTACCATCTAATTTTGCGAGTTAATTAAGTGGCTAATGATCAATTCATGATACCATGTAAAAGCGGCGAGAGTATAGAACTGCACTGCAATTTATATGTGCACTGCTGTAAACGTACGATAACAAGCCTGGGCTGACATATGTTAGCTGCATTTGGGGGGGATTAGGGAAGAATTTTAACTGTACTTATTTTCGAAAATTGGGGGTGGGAAGGCTTATTATTGAGGGAAAGAATGTTTAAGTTTATGTTTGGAATGGCGTGTTGGCATGTTGAGTTTGAAAAGTTTTAGACGCATACCGTAATCACGTTGAAATATTAAGTAAACTCCACAGTAATTGAATGTGGAAGGCGTATTTTTCTCTTCCCAGCTAAATCGTAAAACATCCCATGAGCTTTTAATTGAGGGTCTGGTTAGCGGAAAGATTTTTGCGTCTGAGATTTGGTGGAGTTTGGACGATTGGGGATGGAAGGGGTTCTTTTGGGGATGGATATTGTTACAGTGTACAAATAAAGCAGGAGTAAGATTGATTCCTACAAAACAAAACATCCTATAGGTGTATTTTATATTTGAAAATGTATGATTTGTCACGATTTTAAAAAGTTTAATCGGCTTATACATTTTGGCCAGCGGTCAGTCAGTCACGATTAGTTACTAACAACCCTGCAGCGATAGCGATAAAGAAAGGCTGTTAAATCCGAAAATACCAAGAGCCGCTACTTTCGGAGCCTTATGGGAGTTAACCAGGATTTATGGTTTGGTCTGGCTATAGTAACATAACGCGCTCTCCATTGATTTTCCTATAGTCGTGGCCGGATTTTCCAGTAATGCTCAGATGTATAATGAGCGATGTCAATCAGCCCGGCTGAATGTCAAAACTCTCTTCAAGGTTACGATACCTTCTATGTGGAGTATATTTTGCTTCCGTCATTAGAGTTCGACTTTCGACGCGGCCAAGTTAAGTTACAACAGGATGTAATATTGTTTTAGACCACGAAATCAATACACCAAAACGCTATTAGAAAGGACTTTCAAACGACTAGGACGTTGCCTAAAAGAAGAGTCAGTTTCTTACCTGGATCATCAAACACTTTATTTTGCGATAGCGTAGTGTTAAGAAATGTATGAAATAACAATTAATTAATACTGAATAGATTTCTTAATTGACCACTCCCCCAATAGTGCTTTTCAGGGCCATTAGAGACAAACAATGGAACAAGTAATGTCAATGAACATAACATGGTTAAAAATCCCAACTGCCAGTTGGCAGATCAGTGGACTATTTACAAGCGTGGCTGAGGAGGTGAACTCAGGACTACCAAGAACAACACCAACTACTAGTGTTCAGAGCGGGTGTTAGTCTCCTTCGCAGCCGTTATTAGGGTCGTCACGCAACGCTCCTCCCCACTAACTAGTGGGGAGGAGCGTTGCGTGACGACCCTAATAACGGCTGCGAAGGAGACTAGAACGACGTCAGAGAGACTCTGGGCTCGAGCGGTTGAGATCGAATCGACCTAGTTACCGACACCGCGGGCTCAATGTTTTGGTCCATTGTACCTTTGTATTCCTCTGTTATTCCTCTTCGATCCTATTCCTGTCCATATTACAATAGTGGGGGAAAACCTTCCTATTCCATTTAATTTTTCTATAAAACAGAAAAAACCTTTTTACCTTAAGGATCACGTATGGGTTGCACTGTGAGTGGAACTGCCAAGGAACTGCCAAGGATAAAAGGATCGTGCAATTCCGACGAAATCAACGCACGTGTCACTTTGTTTAAAAACTTGAGCAAAGAGCTTTGTTCCGTGGATCGCACAGGCAATGCCAGTTTTTTGAAAGGTACGATAGACTTTCCTTTACTCAGTATGTTCAGAAGTTTCATAATTTTTAAAAATGTATGTTACTGAAAAACTGAGAACAGCCCCGCCACCATTTTCCTCTGGAAGGTTAGTAGTGATGGGGTATAAACGAGCCAGGAAAAACACTGCTTTTACAACCTTCAGAACCTTAGAACCAACCCTGGGGGTAATTCCATACGGTTTCTTAAACGTCGATTACGTACTGCTTTATTTATTTATTTATTTGTTTGTTTNCAGGGATTCAAGCCCAGCCAACATTAGATTATTGGTAGACTTTGTCACCTCTGTGCCCACCATTCCTAGCATGTAGACTGAAAGATTTTGAAAGCATCAAAGAAGACTGTGACATTGTTCTATTTATAACCCTTTCCCCACCTTACCAATCATTGGTAGAAAGATTCTAGCTTTTAAGACTGTCCTTGAAACCATAATTTGTGACCATTCAAAGGAAAACTGTTGAGCAGTACTTAAATGTAGGTAGTTCTAACTTGGGGTTTATGGAGCACCATTCAAATGGAAATAATTGATGAGAAATTACCTGGTTAGGTTTGTGTTCTTTAACTGAGTTTCTACGACGAGCGAGGTGAGCCCCCTCCTGTGCGGCACGTGAGACGTTTATTTCATCCAGCGGTTAGTGGGAGGATACCGAGACCTCCACGACCACGAGCAACCAATATGCATTTTGGAGGATCTGGAGGCAGTGGTCTTTCCTCCTCTTCCTCCTCCTCTTCCACTTCTGCCCGTGAGAGCATGGATCCTATAGCAGAGCTTCTGTCCCAGCTCTCTGGCGTTCGAAGACAAGCTCAGCAGCCCCAGGCTCCCATGCCTATGCAGTCACAGCTTCAGTTACTTCAACAGCAGTTACAGCTAGAAAGACAGCAAGTGCAGCAGACAAGGGAGCGGCTGGAAAGACTTCCAGCACGGAGGCAGATGGCGGCAGCTGCTGCTGCTGCGGCGAGTAGCAGTGCGCCGACTACATCGACGGTTAGCGCTCAAGAAAGCAGCAGTTCCCCATCTTCTTCATTTCTTCTTGCCAGGTTTGTAAAATTGACAAATGATTTATAGTCATAGTTACCCTAAGTTATTAATTTGTTACGTTTGAGGTCGCCATTCTGCCCATTATTTTGTATTTAGATACCAAGTGCCGATATTCCAGTCCCAAACCGTTACTGTCAACCGTCGCAGTACAAAATCTTGATGTCTCTGACGTGTATCTATTATGATTATCCTAATCTTTCTATTACGAAATTTCTTTCCATTTCCTTTCACAAAAACAAAAGTCAACTCCTTGATGAAAGTTTTTAGTGCCAAGTTTAAGCTCTGCCCTCCAATCAAGGTTAATGTGAAAAAAAGGAATGAATCCCAGGAACTAAGACACCCCTGTCAGAATGTAAAAAGCATTCAGGTCGTGTTTTGTTGGTTGACAGACGGTTGTTATAGTTCTTAGATTGTCTGCCACTCTCAAAACTCGATTGAAACAGTTATTTGATTTAAGTTTCCCAGGTGACTCCTTTTGGACCATTTTGTGTTGATGCAGTTGAGGAAGTCCGCTTGGGACGGTTTTTCTTAATATAACAAGGGAGGCAGAAAAAAAATCCACCAACGCACTGTAGTTGAACTCGGTAGATCGCGGTCTAAAAGCTATTTAACAGATGGTTTTCTTTGGGAATCTCAAACGAAACTCAACCGAGTAGTTGACAGTGATTCCAAGAGAACACTTTTTGCTTTGCTAAGTTCTACCGTACTTTTCAGGGCCAATGAACCATCATTGTCCGAAGCCGAGCAGGAAACCCTAGAACGCGAGCGCGCAGACCGAAGCCTGTTCGTGCAGGATCTTATTCTGTCGACACTTGGATCAGCAGCGTTTAGACGCAGAGCCCGTCCGAGCTCTTCAGTTCGGGAGACAACGGCTGGATTTGCAAGTCTAACCCTACAGGATAGCGCCGGAATTCAGGCTAGTGCTAATGAAATGCGGGCAGAGGCCCAGGACTGTAATGTAATCGAACAGGACATTACTGTTCAAGATATGGAGCTTATAACACTGGAAACGGAGGAAGATAAAGATTCCTAGCGCAGGCAGGGATTGTTGGTTTCAATCAAATTTTACCCTCCATGTAGGTACAGAAATGAATTTTCATTGACGTTAATTCGCGGTTTGCCGTCGTTTTAGACCGTCGTGGAGAACGTGCACTCGCCCGACCCCAGCAAGAGGACAGACAAGAAGAAGAAGAGGCAGAGGCTAAGTTATAAACGCCTTGGTCGCGCGTGTAAACATAGCATCAATCTACCCTTGACGAAATGCCGCATCATAAGAGAATAGCTATGATTGCGCGCATTTTTATAGTTGGAGAAATAATTAGATAGGGTTGGAAAAAATAAATTTTAATGAATGACATCCCTTTGAAACAAATCGTGTAAGCTTATCGTAATTTTAGTTTTGATCTTGACTAACGTATTGCAATCTTGACGCTTCCCAAAAGGAGCGAACGCCCTGAAGAGACTTAGAAACCACAAAAAATACACGAAATAACTTTAGAGTACACATTAGTAAACGATCAGGAAGTTTACCAAAAGGGCAGACCATATTCTCGCTCCATTCTTTCTTAGCGCTTCTTTCCAAAATGACCGTCCTTTTGTATTTCAATGCTTAAAAGACCCTGGGGACAAAGATGACCGTTTTGTCGTAAGCAAAATATCCAAGTGCTTTCTGGTGGACACCCAAGGCTTGGTCTCTTCTGTCTTCCCGGCAACAGTGAGCCTACCAGCCCTTGGGTGTACTGGGTCAGATGACGAATTGCTGGTTGGCTTGGGGGGTCATGAAAGTTGGTTATTCTAACATAAGCCTGGGACAGAGTTAATTTTTGGTCGCAAAGATCCGGTTCTTGCTGTATGGAATTGAGGTCTGTTGCCTTGACGTGGGAGATCTTCGGCTTCTGGCCACATCATCACAGGGCTGTTGTTCCCTGTGGATGTGGAAGTGCCTTTTGTCAAATCCGAAAGTCCGCGACCTCAAATGTAACAGAAGCAATTGCAGATTACAGATACAGCAATCTCTGCACCGAAATACCCGATTTTGATGATTTTTACTCTGTTCATGTGCGAATTCGTTTCATTAAGCATTTCACCTTTCGTTACCATCTAATTTTGCGAGTTAATTAAGTGGCTAATGATCAATTCATGATACCATGTAAAAGCGGCGAGAGTATAGAACTGCACTGCAATTTATATGTGCACTGCTGTAAACGTACGATAACAAGCCTGGGCTGACATATGTTAGCTGCATTTGGGGGGGATTAGGGAAGAATTTTAACTGTACTTATTTTCGAAAATTGGGGGTGGGAAGGCTTATTATTGAGGGAAAGAATGTTTAAGTTTATGTTTGGAATGGCGTGTTGGCATGTTGAGTTTGAAAAGTTTTAGACGCATACCGTAATCACGTTGAAATATTAAGTAAACTCCACAGTAATTGAATGTGGAAGGCGTATTTTTCTCTTCCCAGCTAAATCGTAAAACATCCCATGAGCTTTTAATTGAGGGTCTGGTTAGCGGAAAGATTTTTGCGTCTGAGATTTGGTGGAGTTTGGACGATTGGGGATGGAAGGGGTTCTTTTGGGGATGGATATTGTTACAGTGTACAAATAAAGCAGGAGTAAGATTGATTCCTACAAAACAAAACATCCTATAGGTGTATTTTATATTTGAAAATGTATGATTTGTCACGATTTTAAAAAGTTTAATCGGCTTATACATTTTGGCCAGCGGTCAGTCAGTCACGATTAGTTACTAACAACCCTGCAGCGATAGCGATAAAGAAAGGCTGTTAAATCCGAAAATACCAAGAGCCGCTACTTTCGGAGCCTTATGGGAGTTAACCAGGATTTATGGTTTGGTCTGGCTATAGTAACATAACGCGCTCTCCATTGATTTTCCTATAGTCGTGGCCGGATTTTCCAGTAATGCTCAGATGTATAATGAGCGATGTCAATCAGCCCGGCTGAATGTCAAAACTCTCTTCAAGGTTACGATACCTTCTATGTGGAGTATATTTTGCTTCCGTCATTAGAGTTCGACTTTCGACGCGGCCAAGTTAAGTTACAACAGGATGTAATATTGTTTTAGACCACGAAATCAATACACCAAAACGCTATTAGAAAGGACTTTCAAACGACTAGGACGTTGCCTAAAAGAAGAGTCAGTTTCTTACCTGGATCATCAAACACTTTATTTTGCGATAGCGTAGTGTTAAGAAATGTATGAAATAACAATTAATTAATACTGAATAGATTTCTTAATTGACCACTCCCCCAATAGTGCTTTTCAGGGCCATTAGAGACAAACAATGGAACAAGTAATGTCAATGAACATAACATGGTTAAAAATCCCAACTGCCAGTTGGCAGATCAGTGGACTATTTACAAGCGTGGCTGAGGAGGTGAACTCAGGACTACCAAGAACAACACCAACTACTAGTGTTCAGAGCGGGTGTTAGTCTCCTTCGCAGCCGTTATTAGGGTCGTCACGCAACGCTCCTCCCCACTAACTAGTGGGGAGGAGCGTTGCGTGACGACCCTAATAACGGCTGCGAAGGAGACTAAGCGGGTGTAGATCCCGCGACATCCCGCGTTTTTGTTTTATAAGTTTATAATCAGTTGGGACGAACATCCCTATCACATACCAAGTCCATGTGGAGCTAAAAAGAAAGGGGTTGGGGTTCCTTCCCCGGACACGCCAGTGATTACTTCCTAGTTCGTTTTTGTATATCAACTTTTTCCCCTTAATTAGAAGTTTTGTACTGCATAAGCTAAGAAGTATTCGAAAGATACTTTGTTCCGAAAGTAACGACCCTCGTAACTTTTGGATTTTGAAACCCTTTCTTATGGCTTCCTAAGTGTAAGGTAACTAATTAATGCTTACCATAGTGGCTGATCAATTTTAGTTCATGAAGATGTTCTCTATATAGAGAGGATGAAAAGGGCAAACTGCTGAAAACAACTTGTAAAACAAACATCAAAATATTGCCTTTGGAACAAAGGTAATCTGAAACGCCACTCACATCAGCTTTTTGAGGTCCTTTGGGTTATCGTTACTTTCGGGATTTGCTAACAACCGTGAAATTGTTACAGATTTCATTTCTACTTTCGGAGTGTAACGTCTTAAGAGTGGTCATTAAATCGATATTTACATCTCCTACATCTACTTAAGTAATACCCTTCACACTACATTAATACATGTTTAATTATACACGCAGAACACCTAGTAATCTAAAACACAACCCAAAACATATACTTCGTAGTGATCAGTGGCAGGTACAATATCTATGGTGCTTCCAGGGCGTGGTTTAGTTGAGGGTCTACTACTGGTATACCGTAAATTAGCGCCTCTCCTCAAATAAGCGCCTCCCCTCGATCGAATAAGTGCCCCCTCCCGCCCCTTGTTTTATGGAGGAGTAATAAGACATCAGAGGATCTATAGTTTTGGTCGTGTTCAGTCACAAGCAAGTTGTTATCGACTCACTCAAAATGAGATGTTTAGGATGAATTTTGAAGGTAAATGTTGTATTAAACTTGAGTTTACGGAAACTGGAGCCGTCATGCAATGTGTCATCAAAGGTCATCAAATCGTAGTCTCATCTTGCCAACCATAAAGCAAGGAAATCAAATAATCTACAGAAAAATACTGGGCTTTGTCACTATGTTATATCTGTCTGTAAAACTTCAGCCGTTCACAAAGATAATGGTTGCAGCAACAGACAGCTATTTAAGTTATAGCGGAGCTACTGCTCGCCGAAGGCGTGCGAGCGGAGCCCCATACCTTAGAAAATTTGGTAACCCATCGATCTGAAATATTTTGGTTGTCACGTGACTGTCCGTACGCCAATACCTTGAAAACTAAGAGAGTAACACCATTACCATAGTTACACCTGTGATTTTGGGCATCTACGCTATTGTTAATTGACGGTTGTCACAAGTTATCCGCTGCCTAGTATCACGTGACCATATCGCGGGCTCAGGTTTAGAGCTCATCGAGGTTGGGTGTTTTTTTTAAATTGACCGCTGACCAGTTACTGGTTTTCCGATTGGATCGTGGGCTCGCAAAGGCAAAATTTCGACGCAAATTAACCCCTAGCGCGTTGTTGACTTTTCTTCTGACATATTCCTTGCACAATCGTCTCTTGGAAAGTCCCTGATATATTGCGCGAGTAATTTCTGCAATCTTGATTAGGCTTATTGGGTATAATTTGTTAAAATTTAACCGGAAAAAATAGCAAAAACCACACGCTGAACAATTACATGCTAACAATTGATCATTTTTTGATTTTCTGATCCAAGAAAAAAATCATTCTCTTTTTCCTTTATGGTCATGGTCAGTTATTGCAATCAGGAGCTCCACTTTTAGGCTTGGCTTAATCTATATATTATCACAGACGCAGAACGCCCTCATAATCTTTTATTACTACTAGTTTAAAATGTGTCCTACAAATTATTACAATAAGATTAACTGCAATTTGGAATATTTGGAATTCTTCCAGAAATCGAGCCAAAATAAACATAGGTGCATGACAGTTCTCGCAGTTATCCTCAAGTTAAGATTCTGTCTCTTCTTCTTATGGCTGAGATGGAGGCATTTAGGCTTGTACTGTTCTTATCTTCTCTTGAAAGTCTTCACCACAAGTATGGATCCATATATCTTATGTTGTTTCCCGTATCTTACAGTCCGAAATCTTGCTATCTTAAAATCATTTCCATTCCGAAGTTGGTATGTCGCTCCATTTTCTTCAAACACATTCTGTATGTAGATTGGTGTCAGTTTATGTTTAACTTTGTACATTAGTAGGTTGTACAGAGTAGTTAGTCCAGCGTTCTTAAGCAGTTCATCATATGTAGCAGTTTTTTCCTTGAAAACAATGCGGAGAGCACGCTCTTGAATCCTTTCAAGAGCGTGAATCCTTGAATCCTTTCCTTGCTAGTGAGAAAATTTAATTAAACCCTCCTTTTCATAAAATTCCATGTGCATGCAAGTAGACTAAAAAACAATTTACTTGTACCAACCGAATTTATTACTAGAATCAATTTTAAAAGCAAAGTTGAAAATTTGGTGAATCAATACCCATAAACTACTCGTAACGTGACTCCTCGCCAACTTTACAGACTAAGTTGCTCTTTTTTTTTCTTTTTTCCTGTTTAATTTTGTTTTTGTAGCTCTAACGCGTGTTGTCAGAATTAACTAATTAGTTTCTTTTCTTCCGTTTTCCTATTGTAAGTAGGTAAGTAAGTAGCACCTGGTGTAAATAAGTAATGTATACTGTGGTATTTATGTAGTGATAGTACAGTGCTTTGTCATTGAAATTTGTGATACGTGTAGTTTGTTAGACGGGTGGTCGTGTAACAATAAAAT